TAATTATTGTATTCTTGGCTGTCATTGTATGTATATTATAATGATTCTTTCTTTTAAAATTGTTCTTTTAATTCTGTTAGCCACCTAGAATCACTATTTGCGAGATGGCCATATAAATTGACTTAAATAAATAAACAAACCCAATCACAGGTCAATAAGACCTTAGTTTGTAGAGGAGTCATAGAAAGTTGACTTACAGTTGGGAGAGGACAAAAGAGGAATGAAGTTGGGAGTTGGGAATGGTAGAATGAAATATTGGAGAATTGAAAATGGGCCTCTGCTGGAAAGTATTTTGGGACAACCTCCCTCCCACTCCTTTACATCATTAAAACTTAATACGAGGTCTCAGGTTAGGGTTCCCAAATGTCAAAAAGTCCTCCTTTTTGTCCTCATGTTCTCTGTCCAGCAGGCATAGGCTTAAAAATCAAACATCGTCTTGCTTTTTAAGCATCTGACAAGGTATTTCTTCTTGAGCAGTTTTTCTCCATGATACAGCGCTTCCCTAATAAGTGCTAACTGCAAGTTGACATGCTTTGCTTAGTTTATTAGTACCCACCCATAGGCTTGCTGCCTCAAATGACAACGCCTTAAAGTTATACTCCTAGGAGTTTTGCCTTTAACTGGTTGTAAGACATTCCTAAGATTAAAAAATCAGTTTTTCTGATGCTGGAAAAAATACTTTCATTTACGGTAGGCCATTTTTTTTAAGTCTTTTACTATAAGTTTTGTTGCAGATACTAAGAAAGTTAAATAATTAGTGTGTCCTCCTTCCAATTGCTCATGTCCTCCTTTGCCTATTCAGCTATCCGGTAACTTTGTCCTAAGCAAAATAAATAATTTCCAGAGTTACTATGGGAGACTATGTCCTTTATAACCTAACCCTTAAAAATATTCCATAACCAGAAAAGATCTTTAAAAAAGGTTCTAACTGAGCAATGGACATTTTAAAAACAATCCAAACATGTCAGTTACAATGGAATTCTGTCTCTTTAACAGAACAAATGCTGGATAAAACTGGATGACATGGGAGTAGAAAGGGATATCATAGAGTAGGACATGACAGACTGGCTGAAACAGGAATACTTTGTACAAGCAGTCCTCAACTTACGACCACAATTGGGTCCAAAATTTATGTTACTAAATTAGAAATTTTTTAAGTGCCCCATTTTACAACTTTTCACACCAGATTTATTAAGCGATTCACTGCAGTTTTTAAATTAGTAACACGGTTGTTAAGTGAATCTGGTTTTCCCATTGACTGTGTTTGTCAGAAGGTTACATGACTCTGGGACATGGCAACCATTAAAAGTATGAACCAATTGCCAAGGATCCAAATGTAACTCACATGACTATGGAGATGCTGCACACAGTCATAAGTGTGAAAAATGGTCATAAGTCATTTTTTCAGTGGCAATGTAACTTTGAACGGTCACTAAATGAACTGTTATAAGTTGAGGACTACCTGTACTATAATACTGATAAGAAGCAAAGTTTAAGTAAAAAATAAATAATTGAAGTTAGTTTCTTTAGAACTTCTTTTGGAGGAATGCTAGAAACAGATGGCAATTGGGGACAAAGGGTCAGGAATCCCACAAAAAGGAAAGCACATGTGATCTTCATGATGTATTCAGAGACTAGGTCCAAATGTTTAAAACAGAACCAGGTTTATATTTAACTTTCTAAAGAGGAGGGATTGATTCATAAGGGAAAGAATACTTCATCTCTGTCACAAAGATTTCCTTCAATCTCTTATTTTTACTTCACCTTTATCCCATTTTTTTTGAAGAATTGATATCTGACCTATGATATAAATCAGTCCAAAATATGGAAGGTACCCTATTATTAAATAGCGTTAATTAAGGGTTTGGGAACAGGATTCAACTGCTTTTTGGACAGCTGTCTTATGACAGTCACTGCATTGTCAAAGTGACTCAGCAATTAGTGGTCATTCCAAGTTAGACCAAGAGTAACACAGATGATGTTATCTTCTGTAGGGACACCTTGGCATGTTCTTCAACATAATTCAGAACCTTGCAAAATCAGAACACCAAATATATGCATTAAACCAGTGGTTCTCAACGTTTGTGTGACGGCGACCCCCGTCACACAAACGTGCCGCGCATGCGCGGCGCGGCCCCCTGAGGGGGGAAAATGGCGGATCGCCTTGTTTGGCGACCCCCGAGAAATGGTCGATCGACCCCAAATGGGGTCGCGACCCATAGGTTGAGAACCGCTGCATTAAACAGAATGATTCCATATTGCTATATCTGTTTCATTTATTTTAATAATTAATTTTGAGGTTTGTCCTAATATTTTTCTGAAGTAGATTATCCTATTAAGATTGTGTACCATATACAGTATATAAATAAACTGGACAGAACAGTATTCTTCAAATTAATTAAACTCAGCATGTTAATTTATTTGGTTATGTGGCTACAATGAATTTTATTTGTTTGCATTATTTATATTTTAACTGAGTCAGAATAATAGAATTGGAAAGGATTTTCTAGGCTGGTGAATACAATTTACAGTCCAACACAGTCATCCAAATTAATTTTTGTCTTCTTTCTTTATAAACAAAATACTTAACATAATAACACTAGTTAAAAACAACCCCTTCCCCAAACCAAATAATTTAAATAATCCTCTACATTGGTTACCCAGCCTTTCCTTGAACTTATTGAGCTCCTCCATTTATAATTTCTTAGAATTTTTTTTGATAATCAAGCAGAATTTGCTTTTCTGTGATGTAAAATAATCTTTACACTGGTTCTGTCTTTTAAGATCAACCATGTACAGTAAAGAAATAAGCAGCCAAGGAACACAGTAAAGCAGTCATGAAGGCCTTGAGAAAAAATAGTCAAATTCCATGATTGATCTATACCTACAAAGATCAAAATCATGGAACCATGCATTCCTTGTGACACTCTATGGAAGTGAAAATTGGACTTTAAAGAAACAGGATAGAGTATTGATGTTTTTGGTCTTTGGATCTGAGAAATTTCCTGAGAATATCATGGACAGCCAAGAAAGAAACAAATGATCATTGAATAAATCAACCCAGAGTTCTCACTCAAGGCACATATGACCAGGCTCATTTGGACACATTATAGAAGATCTAGCTCTCTGGAAAAGCTCTAATACTGGAAAAGATGGAAGGCAAGAGAAGAAGAGAGTGACTAACAACAAGCAACAGCAATTACAGTGGCAATGGAACAGTGGTGGGATTCAGCCAGCTCGCATCACTTTGGCAGAACTGGTAGCTAATTTTTTGTTGCTCCGGCCCAGAATGGACTTCTGGAAGCAGCATCCACACAGAGAACCGGTTGTTCACATATTTGAACAATATGCAATGGAGGCATTGTTGGAAGATATGAAAGAACAGGTTAGGAATAGATAATCATCAAAAAAAATGTAGAAATATGATCACTAGGAGTTGAAAATCACTTGACAGCATATAACCAAAACTACTGTAAAGTAATAGAGAACAGTTTTGATCTTCTATGTGACATTCCTTTAAGCATTTTCAAATATCCTTGTCTTTGTGTCTATCCATGTATTCTTCTTCTTTATATTCGTTCTGATCACACTTAGTTAGGTGTAATGATATTGGTTCTACATCCCTGTCTAAAAACTATGTTTATCAGAGAACAATAGTTTATTCCCTTCCTTATTTCCTGCCTGCTTCATCAGTGGTGAAGATAAGATCATAAGCAGTTCAACCTGAAGTTCCATGAGATTAGTAGCAGGACATTTATAATGAGACTGAAGCTCTTGAATAGTGTCAAAGTTTATCTAATGATCACTTCCTGCTTTAAAAGGCATAACAATATTGAAATGAATGCATAATAATCTTGCTAGGTGGCCTTGAAAACACTGCAATTCAAACTAAACCAGCAACATTTGTTCTTTTCTAAAGAAGATAAAGAAGTACTCAGATATTTAGAGTTTCAACTAGCAAGGAAGAATCATTAAAGTCAAATAATGATTTAGAGAGCAAAACCAATCCTATACCAGCATAGCTGTCCTATGCTGTATTATTAAAGTCAGGCTTAAGTTCATTGTAAATAGTAACTAAATTGGCACATTGATACAAAATCTTATGACTAGTTCTATGGTTACGAGTCCACTTATATAGTCAAGCATTCTCCTTTCTCTCTCTTAAGCTGTACACACTGTTCAGTGAGACTTCTTTCTGTGTTGTTCCTTAGGCACCAAGTAGAGAGCAGCTAGAATCTTTCAAAAAGTTATGAGAACACAATAACCCAAAGACTACAAAGCTTTATTGAAAAAGAACGTTCTTTGCCATCCTATCATTCCTTCTTTCATTCACCAGGCTCTTATGATTCAGAGTTGACCAACCATCTATCTCAAAAACGTGTATACCTTTCATCCATTGAAATTCCTTGTTTTAAGTCTTTTACAGTTTTGTTATTTGCTGGGCTAACTGCTTAGCACAATTTTGATTTTCATGGTGTCTCTTTAAAACCAGCATCCTCACTGTTCTGGGATCTGTTTTTCTAATCTCAGGAGGGTGATTATGATACCTATCTGATCTTTCTCACTTCCAAATAATGACTTCTTGGGCTCTATTTTATAGACACAGGTTCTAACATTTACGTGACTCCAATTTCTTTTAAATATTGTTACAACATTTGTTGATGCATTAAAGTTCATATGCCTGAATATATGCATGTATATTAGAATCACCCTTCATTTACATTTCATTCCAATCTATCCTGGTGGCAGCACTGACAACACTAGTTTAGCTTATTTTCTCTGGGAAAAGAACAGTTTCCCAGTTCCAACATTTCATGATTTATAGCAACATGTCAGCTGAAGAATTCTGGGCGTTGAAGTCCACACATTTTAAAGCTGCCAAATTTGAAAAACACTGCTTTATATGCACATGCACTAGTGAGTAATCATTTTATTTATAATAGAGAATTTCTAAATAGAACATTGTTGGTCAATAATTCCATCTTGATAGATCCAGAACATCTTTAATTTGGGGTAAAAGGCAAAATAATATTTTGGTCAGTTATTGATCTTTGTGTATCTATGCATTCATGGAGGTATTGTAGGCTGAATCTAATGATAGCCTATCTCATGTGATCCCTGCAAAACCCCATTAGCTTCTTCAGCATATACAACCCAGATCAGCAATGCTGGCTGTGGACTTCTGGGAGTTGAAGTCCACATGCCTTAAAATTGTCAAGGTTGAGAACTGATTAAGCATTTATCTCTCTATTGACGTGGTTATTAGCTTGGTCATCAAGGAAGATCATACAGCCATGGCTGGGTTATTAGGTCTTTTCTGTTATCACCACTGCCCTCTGTAATGTTTTTCCTCTCTTAAGATAAAACACTCTTTGTGTGACACTTTTGACTACTGTAGTAGATGGATCTTCTTGTTCTAACTTTCCAGTGATATTTAATGCTGTTTTAACATCTTTTTAAAATATGTGAGATGTTTTTATTGGTGGTTTTCCATAGCATTGTTTTATTTTGCCTCATATTTTAAATTATTGTGGTTTGCAATGGATATGTGTCAGTAAATGCATTCATGGTGGATAGATTATGTATATATGCATGTGCATATGTGTTTATTTCATTCCTATCTCACTTTTCCTTTGGTAGTTCAAAGATAGTTCAAATATATATAGCTGCATGTGCATGTTTGTGTGTCCATATATACATAATCTATCCATAATCTATCTATGTATATTACCATTTCTTTCTTCATATCAGCCTTTTGAAGTAGATTAGCCTGTTAGCATTAAGTAAACATCACCTTTGTTTTAATCTAGTCCAACACTTTAAGCACTATAACACGCTGGTTGTCTTTTGAAGATGCCAATCAACATCCAAATGGATTTTCCTTCTTCAGATGAAATGAAGTTCAGATGAGATGTTTGGTTGTTGACTTTTCACTGCAAGAATGTGTGTGGGTGAAGCGCTATTGATGTTAGGTATCCTTCCAAATATCAGGTCATTATACTAAAGAAAAAAAAAACAAGACATCTGTTGAATTAAAGGCTATCATTACACTCCAGAAATATAGGTTGGAAACTAGTCTAAATAGATTGGGTGGGTCATGCAGTTTGCAAACTCTGTCTGAAAGGTATGATTTTATTTCTAATCTTAACATTCAATAGCAAAAACTGTCCATAGGGAGAATATGCTTCAAGTTGCCTCTTTCAAAATTTGTCAATTTATAGGACTTAGGAGGTATGACTTTTCAGTGGTTGCCCCTGCTCTTCCCCCAAGCATTAGGGCCTATTTGAATGATTATCTCCTTTATTTGCTAGGTGCCACTTTATGCTTTACATTTTGTATTTCTTTATTGTGAATTTTTTTCTTTTTGATTTATTGTTTGTTTTTTATGCTGTTCAGTACCCAGAATCCCATTGTTTAAGCTGGGTGGCTTTATAAATCTTGAAAAAAAAAATAAAAAAACTAATCTAAAACATAACAAAACAATAAAAAGTAAAACACCTGCCTACGAACAGTTGAGGCTAAATACTGTAGATATAAATCTACTAAAAATATTACAAGTAAAAAAATGAGTTTTTTTAAAAAAAATCTTTGAAGAATGAAAGAGTTTTGAAAGGATAAAGGATCTTTTCAGTCCTGGTGATGACATAGACACATCCAGGTTGTTTTCCTGGGAAAAATATGGAAGTGATTTGCATTGAGTTCTTCCAGGATGGCTTTCTAGCATCTGATCAAGTCTATTCCTAAGGGTTTCTTGGTGGTATCCCATCCAAAAACCAAGCAGCTCATTGCTTCTTATCCTTTTGGAGTTTATTCCAGGTTCACTAGATGCACCCACCTCTTGAATCTAACAAAGGTATTACACAAACTCAAAGGGAACAAAACTGGTACAAGGTTGTGAGTCTACTACTGAAAAGACCTACTCCACATAGTCACTTACCATGGTTCAACAAGTTTTTTAGTGAATCCAGTGCTCAGGTAAAAATGTATTATTGATTTTAGCAGCCCCAGTACATAAAATATGGATTATTCTTATAACATCTTACAGTTCTGGAGAATATCTGAGAAGCTAGAAAACCATAAAAACATAAATAATTTTTAAAATAATAACACATTTAGATTTATAACTGGATTGTGGATTATTGCAACAGGATCTGGAATATATTACAGCATAACAACACTAATACTTAGATTTATATACCACTCCATAATGCTTTACAGCACTCTCTTGAGCAGTTTACTGTGTCAGCATATTGCCCTAACAATTTGGGTCTTCATTTTACTGACCTGGGAAGGATGAAGGCTGAGTCAACCTTAAGCCCCCTTAGGATCAAACTCCAGACTGTGGGCAGAGTTAGCAGGCAATTCTGCATTCTAACCATCGTACCACCAGTGCTCATAATATACAAGATCAATAAACAATAATGAATTGCCCTATAAGGAAAAGCTAAGAGGAAGACATGATATTTCTTTTTGTATTTAGTTTGGTAGTAGCCAAGCTGACATTAAATATGTGTTCTACCCTGAATGTAAGAATTAATACATCTTTAGGTATAGTAACATTTGAAATCATACCACTCCAAATATGATTGGTTCAGGCTTCAAATTCATTCAAAGAAACAATTCAAATGTCTCTTTATTACCAAAATGCTTTGGGACCACATTTTCTTCTATCAGGTATATTGTCCATGTTGAATTTCTTTTTTTTTTTTTTTTTTAATTGAAATTTTTCAAAAATTTTCCATGTTGAATTTCATAATCCTTTATTTCAGATTCTTATGCTAATGGTATAGGGCTCTAAGATTTTACTGTACTTATTTAATACTCAATTTTAAATATAAGCAATCTCAAGGACCCTTGTCAAAATGAAAAGACAGGTTGGAAATACTTTAAAATATATTTATGAATTACAAATATATTGATTGTTTGGTTATTGCAGTATTGCTTCTTAATCACTGTGACTTTGCTGATCAAGATTACATGAATAATATGAATGTGAATTACTCACTTGTCAATACAGTCATAAGGCAAAGATTAACACGTAATCCCAAACTTCCTTGGGATGACTATGTGTATACTATTTATGCTCATGGAATTAATTCAGAATTCACAAGAAACATTACTGGATCTTAGTAAGGAAAAAGCCACATAAATCAGAATGCCTGATGGATCAAAAACTATGATATGCCTAATAGGTTTTAGAATGATGATGTTCAAACAACAGGTCTTGTTGTCATAGTGTAAAGTTAATAAAAAGGAGTGTTCTCTACCAATAGTTATATATCATTGTATACCATTATGTCTCTTCCACTTCAGTCAGAATTGTTTATGCATTTTGGAATAGCACTATTTCCTATTTTCAGGCTCATTTTCCTTTGTAGGTATAGTCTATGTCATCCATGTATAGATCAGTCTTAGGATCATTGATAAAATCTTTTTTATAATAGTTATAATCTCAGTGCATACTGTACCATATACTGGTGGAAGACACACCCTCCCACATATTCCTTCACAACACTTCAGGTTGCCACTGCATTGGAAGTCATAATCACAGTCATTGGGTGGATTGAGCATCCGACATTTTTCAAGAATAAATGGACACAATCCTGGTTTCTCTACAATACAGTACAGGAAAAAATAAAAATGTGACATTGAAGATAAACTCATATGGTTAATGCTTCCTGAATTCACCTTGAGTGCTAAAGCCTATGTCAGAAGTATTCCATGCTGTAGCTTTCTCATATAGTCCATAAAAACCTGAATCTGAAGGGTGAATTATTTTGGGCCTTAATTGCCGTTCCCAAAACAAATCAGTGGAATATGCTTTCATACTGAATGCCAATTTCATAATGAAGATAACATTATTTTGTATGCTATATGGGCCATTTTAGCACCTCTGTTATTTTGTTGCCCCCTAAAACCTAAACTGGAGAAAAGTTAATCCTTTTCAAGCCCTCTCAAAGTGTAGTTACAGAATGGTAACTATGCTACTTTATTTTTTATTTTTTTTAAAAATTACCTTGAAGCCAGAGTAATTAAACTCCTAATAACATACTCCACCCATCCAATGCTGTTCCCTAATCCATCAAATTATACTAAAAAAAAGGAATGTAATTCCTGTCAAACTGCGGGCATGCAGTGGCACATTTTGGCAGTGGAATTCAGGAGTTTCTGGGGTTTAAATGCATTTTTTCAGCATATAAAAAGCTTAAGTCAATTATTTTAGCCTTTCAAATGCCTCAGAATGCCTCAAAATAGGGTCTCAGACATATGGGCTCATCAAATGGGTTGGATCTGAAGCCACAAAAGGGATGCTAGCAGGCCACATTTTGTACTATTGTTCTTGCTTCTATCTTCCAAAACACACCACCCATGATTCCAAACCTAAGCATGCTGAATTGATATTTTCTTCTGTATGCCATATATTGTTTTATATAAATCATATATTGACTACTCACCATAGTAGAAAAAAAATATCTACATCTTTAATTGAAGCAAGCAAATTACTCAGACCTAAATTTGGAAATACAGTAGTTTTGATACTTACCTATGAAAATCCTTGTTCCAGATGCAGATGATATCTCTGACCAAAGGACAAGAATGCCTATAAAAAATAAGAAATCCAATGTCTTCATGGTACTGTACCAGATGTTGATGCCCAAGGCAGAGATAGGCTGTTATTTATATTGGTAAGACTGGGTCATATGATCATGATTGTCTTCTCCCATTTAGGTAATAATTAGCTTTTCACATCCTCATAGGTAGGCGATGCATCTTGCACATGTAATTCCATTGTTCAGCATTTTCCATGTAGGCTATTTTTTTTTTTTTACAACCATAGATACTGGAATAAATGGAGGATAAACTGTAACCTTTCCAACCTAGCTTTGGGCCAAATTTGTGGCTATGTCACTTCTCAGATTTCCTGGGCAACACGGCCAGCAACAAAACAATATTCCAAGACAAATATAGGTCTTCAGTTCTTTAGATATTATGGTCAAAATAGAGATATACCATATGAACATATAAAGAGAAGAAAGATTATCTATAGGATGAGCTTTTCTTTAATTCAATGCCAATCTGGAAAAACCTGAACTATAATTATCATTTTATTTTTCTAGATTTCTGAAAATGACACAGAACATATGTGGAACAACAGGAATACATAGAATATTTTGCGGAAGATAAACAGGATGTGGTAAAGAGGCCCTAGAGAATGACAACTATCACTTGGTATTCCAATCTTGAACTTCATTCTGCAGGAAAAGAAGGAGAGAAATTGCTTGGGACATCTGTGTTAACATGGGTGAAAGAGTGGATAACACTCAGAAATAAAAGGTTATTGTATTTAGAGGGACATGGTTTACAACTGGGATGGCATGTTTTTTTATGGTACGGGAAAAACAGTCCATAAGTACTTTCAAAATCATTTTATAAGAAATGCTTTGTTAATAGTATGGGAGAAAATTAAAGCTGACCAGGGTGGTTATCAACGATGGAGGCATTTATTCATCCGAATCTGGTAGACTTTGAAAAAACATGGACATATAAAGATATTTTAGATATGGATGGGAAATTAAAATCTAAACAAGAATTGGAAAATCAGGGAATTAATCTGTCTTGGTGGGCACATTTACAGATACAAAGTAGATATGAAAAAGATGTAAAAATGTATGGATTTTACAAGGACCAATCTGTGTTTGATAAGATTTTGTTATCTTCAGATGAGAAATTAATCAAGAAATTGTATAACTTTTTGTTAATTTTAGATATGGAAAGTGAACAAGTGAAAGAAACAATGACAAAATGGGCAAAAAAATTTGGTTATAATATAGAATTAGAAAAATGGCAAATGTTATGGGAGAGAAACTATAAATTAACAATGTCAACTTCATACAAAGAAAATTTGCATAAAATGTTTTATAGATGGCACCTTCCACCAGTAAGATTAGCAAAAATGTTTAAAAATATTTCAGATAGATGTTGGAAATGTAAACATAACATAGGCACGTATTATCATATTTGGTGGACATGTGGGAAGGCAAAGACTTATTGGAAAAATATACATATGTGCTTAGAAAAAATATTGGGCGAACAAGTGGATTTTAAACCTGAGCTTTTTCTACTAGGCATTATGCCTAAAAAGACTAATAAGCAGAAATTATATTTAATTTTACACATCACCACAGCAGCGAGAATAATTTTTGCACAATACTGGAAGAATGAAGGATTGCCATCAGAAGAAGAAATAATTAGGAAAATACTGGAATGTGCAGAGATGGACAGATTAACTATGAGATTGAAAGACAAAGAAGATACAGACTACTATCAAATTTGTAATTTATTTTATTCTTGGTTAGAGAAAAGAATGAAGGATTAGGAATTGAACATGTATTAGCTTACCAAACTCCAGACAACTTTGTTGATTGGAAAAATTAACATATGTTGATGAAAATAATAAATAAATAAATAAATAAATTGCTTGGGGGAAGTACTAAAAAAAATCTGGCAGGAGTTTGCCAGAATAACAAAGTCTTAATACCCAGCAGTGTAACATGAACCGTTCATACAGTCATACAATACAATCAACAAGTTGAATTTCCTGTGGCTTCTTTAGCATGCAGCAGATTATGAGAAGATTGATGCCTGACTGATTCTCTGAACCCAGAACACAGCAGCAAAGACATCTTCATAACAAATTGTGAAGTCGAATTTGGACTAGAGGGGATTGTTGCTGATTTAATTTTTTAATTGGGAGCCTCCCAGAGTTGGCTGAAAGATGGGCAGCTATATAAATGACAAATGAAAGGAAATACCCATGTCCCAGAATAATGTTGGAGGATCCAATCTGAGTTGATCACTTGGACCAGAGGTTTAATCGTTCAAGCTTTCAAGCTGAAGCCCATCCTCAGTGAACTACTCTTTCTCCAGAATGTGCTATATAAATATTTTAAATAAATAATAATAAATAGATTTTTAGAGCTGAACTTTAGAATTTTGGAAATAGACCTATTTTGAAAAAGCCAGACTTTCTCAGGTTTATAGTGTGAGAGCTATTCTAATATTAGTATTGGAGTTCCTGGCTCCAGGGGCATGTCATCGTTAAGGATCCTGAGAGTGATTTTCTGCAGTGCTGGCCCCACTTTGGAAAAGTCTACCTAGAAATAAAGGGAGCTCCATTGCTATTGGTGTTCAGGCTGGCTGAGTCTTTCTGGAAGGACCTTTGGAGACAGAATGGAAGTGGAGTTGTTCCTGAGAAATTAGTGCCTGGTTGGTACCAGAGGTTATAATGATGATATTGGTGGTGTTCTGAATTATGACTATATTTCTTTTTCATTTTTAATCTGATTGCTTATAGAGGAATTGTAAATTTCTCAGAGTTAGCTTATTAACTCCCAAAATATCAATAAATAATGGGAATATTATTAGCTTCTGTTCATAAATACGTTGCAATCTGGAAGACCGAGACCTGGTATTGTGATAATGTCTTGACTGAATGAAATATATATATTGTTTTTGACAACCCTTTAATCTATGTCAAAAACCAAAGCTGAACTAGAAAGTGTAATACTGATGGTGAACATTGGTGAACTGGACAGCCATTTGTCCGAAATGGTGTAGGGTTTCCTGCCCGAGCAGGGGGTTGGACTAGATGACCTCCAAGGTCCCTTCCAACTTTACTATTATTATTATTATTATTATTATTATTATTATTATTATTATTATTATTATCACTCCTGGAGCTGTCATATCAAACCTATGTGGAAACAGATTTGCTGATTTGATTACTGGTGACTTTTGAAGTTGAGTTTAAAGTACCGTATTTTCCGGCATATAAGACGACTTTCTAAACCCTGAAAATCTTCTCAAAAGTCGGGGGTCATCTTATACGCCGGAATATACGGGTAGCTGTTCTCTGAATTTAAAACCAATCTGCCCCCTAGTGGCCAGCCCTATTTTTTTTTTTTTTACAGAAATAAGCACTGACAAGACAAAGCTTTCTAGCAGCAAAGGAATGGAGCTCCTATTGTGCTCATCTATAAACAAAAATTCAATATTGTACTGTATTTTCTGGTGTATAAGATGAAAATCTTCTCAAAAGTTGGGGGTCGTCTTATACGCCCAGTCGCCTTATACACCGGAATATACGGTATTCATATTGGTGGGTAAAACAATTTTTTTTAAAAAAACTTGGCAACTTGAAGATCTGGATTTCAACGCCCAAGATTACAGAACAGACTAAACTGAGTGTTGTCTCCTATTGTAACTTGGGAGTAGGCACAAACTTTTTGTACTTTTTAAAATGCTGCTGACTACATAGATTTAATACTTATATTTTCAAAGGCCAACTAAAGCTATTTGAGAGTGTCAATCAGTCAATCAGTAGTTCGCTATTATCATTTAGCAGGGCCTAGATTCTTGTTGATAGTGATCCTTGCCCTTTGGAATACCCTTCCCCTGATTTCAGCAAGTCTTTAACCACTTAGCCTTCCAAAAAGCCTTGACGACCTGTCTTTTCCCACAAGCCTTCAGGTAGTTTAAGGTTGGAGCCCAGTGAAGTTCTTTGTAGATATGCAGGAATTTGTTGCATTTGGCAGTGTCAGGAGTCTCTGTGGTTTTTTTTTTTTTTTTGCTGTTTTATTGATTTTATCTTGTTTGTAAATAGGTTATAATGCATATGAATCTTTTAAATACTTGAATTAAAATGCCCTGAAAGAAAAATATTCTTATGCATTATTCTGATGTTGGGAAATATAGCAGAAGAAATTCATTATCTGTATGTGAAAAGATAAAACCAAAACTTTATATGAAAATCCCAGGATGGTTATCAATGATGGAAGCTTTTGCTCACCCAAACCTAGTTAAATTTGAAAAAAAATTAATATATAAGGATATTCTGAATACAGATAGAAAATTAAAAACTAAACAAGAGCTAGAAGAGAAGGGCATTGACTTATCATGGTGGGCCCGATTGCAAATGCAATCGAGGTATGATAAAGATGTTAAAACATATGGTTTTTATAAAGACCAGACAATATTTGATCAGGTGTGGTTGATGTTGGATGAAAAATCATTAAAAAATTGTATATTTTGTTTTTGAATTTAAAAATGCAAGACAAACAAGTGAAAGAAGCAATGATTATACAGGCAAAAAAACCTTTGGATATAATATAGAATTAGAGAAATGGCAAAATCTTTGGGAAAGAAATTATAAACTGACAATGGTACTTCATATAAAGAAAACTTACATAAAATGTTTTATAGATGGCATTTTCTGCTTGTTAGATTAGCAAAAATGTTTTAAAAATGTTAAAAAATGTCTAGTAAATGTTGGAAATGTAATCAAAATCCTGGTACATATTATCACTTGTGGTGGACATGTGTTAAAGCAAAAAAGTTTTGGACATAAATACACACTTGGTTAGAAAAGATGTTAGGGAAACGTAGATTTTAAACCTGAACTTTTTTATTAGGCATAATGGCAGAAAAATTTGATAAACAAAAAAGAAAACTATTCTTATGCATTATTCTGATGTTGGGAAATATAGCAGAAGGTTACAGAAGACCCAGAAAAATTGTCTTCATGATGCTACCAGATAATAATTCTTTTTTAAAATAAGCTTTATTGGTTTTTAAAACATAAATCACATAATAGTTGATTAACAGTGTGTTTGCTTGGTTTACATTTGTAAAGAAAAATAATTAACAATTGATTTCTATAATTCACAATCCACATGTTCAAACCAAAGTTTCTTTTTTTCCTTAAATATTCTCTCTGGTAGCATCTATATTCTTAATTTTCACTTTAATATTTTAATATTTTTCCTTTGATCAGTATCTTTCTTGGTCAATGTGTTTTGCTGAATTTTTCCATCTATTTTTCCCCAACCAATTATACAATTTGTTCCAGATTATACAATTATACAATCTGTTTCACTCTTATCCTTATCCACAGAGTCAGACTGTGAATTATATGAAGAGGGCTGAGTCAATTTTTTTTTGTATAATGCTAATTTCACATCTCATATATCTAGTTGATATCTTATATACTGGTACTGTACCTACCTGATACCTTTTCAGGGTGAACTGCATTTTTCAGTATTTTTCAATATTAATCTCTTTTTTTGTTTTCTCTTTTCTTTGCTGAAGCAATAGCTATTGCAGTAGGGATAAATTGCATTAACCTTTCCCAACCCTGTAAATACTCTATGCAGAAACTGTTCTACTCTTTGTTGCTTTCTGAGCAAGCTCCAAATGCTCAATATGGAATGCTGTGTGTGACAGAAACCCCAGGAAATTTCAGCCATATGCACACCTGACCTCAGACAAGCTAGAATCCATAGTCTATTATCTTGGCTTGGCGTTTGTATTTTTGTATTTTATTCTATAATCTAATAAAATGTTACAAACTCTAAAAAAAAGGGGGGGGAGTACCGGTTCTAAATCATTCGGTAGCAGTTCCTTTGCTGAATTACTTTCCCTTTGCACTGACAAATGTATGATGAATTTAACAGAGCAATAAAGGACTCTATTGAAGCCTGCCTCTGCCTAGGTGACCTGGGTCATAACAATATATAAAGGGTCTCCTGCATATGGGATGCATAGTCCATCTGTTTGGACTTAGCTTTGAGGCACTGATACAAGTGGCTTTTCCCCCCTAATTGTCTCTCTTGTCAGTTTGTGGTTAACCTATAGTTTCTTTGAACAATAATGTGGTTAGCTCATTTCACTTTCAAACCATTAGCAATATCCTGTCCATTTCCCTTCCCATTCAACATCTCAACCAAAGCAATTCTTGTTTCCTACATTCTAATGGGAAGTCCAGTTGGAAGAACTAAACAACATAGTAAGGATCTGCCCACACTCCTTGTGGTAAACAGTTCCCATATTTAGTCTGGTAATAACATTCAGAATTCTCCAAATGCACTCCAGTTTGGAATATCATAACATTTCTAAAAGATATAAACTAACTTTCCTAGACTGAGGAGGACAACAGGAGGTGATATGGAGTTTGCAAAATAAGTGTGACTTAAAGAGAAACAGGATTAACTGGGGAAGAGTTTATTGAAATGAGGATTGAAATGAATGAGTTAGATCCCTTTTAATCATGATTCAAACTGAAGCATAGGTTGGAAGCATATATGGTTGTTCCTGTGAATGACCTAAGTTTAACTTAGATGCTTGGAGTGCAGCTTTCCTTGTCTTATTAGATCTCTTGGGGACTTTTGATACTATCAATCCTAATATGGTTCTGAGCTGCTATGAAAGTTACAATTTGAGAGCACAGCATTGTAAGTGTCTACTTAAAATGTGAGTTTTATTTTTTAAATTTTTATTTTATTTAAAAGATTAAAATCCAAAATCCAAAAAACAATTGATAAAGACGAAACAAAAGAACATGAAAAAATGTGAATTAAAATGACAAAAAATAAAAAATGCATATTATCCCCCCAGATGAACAATGACAGATATATTGCAACAATAATATTATAAACATCTACATCTATTTGCAACCCAATTTGACCTGTCATGCATTGTATATATAAAGAATAATTAACAATTAAATAATAGCAAAGTTAAACTTCAAGGCCCTTTGTTAACAATGTGACCTTTGAAAGGATTCTTTTTTCAAGCTCTCAATTTTTCTTTCTTCTTGATATCAAACTAATTTAGTAAAATCTACTCTGCCATGGATAGGTTGTCTTCTTAGGGGAAATATTGTAATTAAATTTTGTCTAGTAGAAATTACCAAGATGCATTCTGTAGGTAAATAAAGAACTGAAAAGTGAAATTTGAGATGCTAATTTTATTTATGAGAAAGAAACAATTTCCATTACAATGAACAATCTTTCTTCATTTTTTATATTTCATTATCATTATAGTAAGCTGTACCCACTCAAAAAAAGGAAGGAAGGGAAAAAGGAAAGAAAGAATGATGAAAGAAAAGTTCTCTGAAATAACCAGGAATAAAACAGTGTAACAAATATCTTGCTGTTCTGATCTCTTGGTCAAGAAACACTCCTGAGGCTGATGAAGGGATCAGAAGATGCTGTAAAATTGTTGGAGTTTTATGTGGAGTTGCCAAACCACTTTCATCAACCAGGATGCCTGTTAATGGATTACAAATTAGATGTTAAGCTTAAACAACAATACACAAGTAGCTAAACAAGCATCTATGTTTCTAATTACCAAACTAGTTCAAGAAGAAACATTTTGCATCAAGGAAGCAGCCAAATGATATAATAAAGAAAAACTTCTGTCAGCCTAGGTTGGAGGAACTCTAGTTGTCAATGGATGGTTGAAGAATTTAAAATAAGAGTCAAGGATTAGCTGCTATGGGAAACTTAATGAAATATAACAATGCCAGCAAATTAGGTTTGCATGTGGTTGGTCAAAGTTTCTGTAGCTAATCTGAAGCAAAGAAATCAAAGGCAGGTGAAGTGAAAGCAATATCTGTATTCACCCAAGAAAGAAAGGAAAGAATGGGGAGATGAGGCTACGGGCTAAAGTGAAGGAAGCATGGAGGATATTTCATCAAGACCCTGATAATATGGAACCCAGTGCATCCTTGAGAAGAAAGTGAATATAAAGTACTACCTGGATCCCGGATCTTCTTATTCTGGGTCCACACAGTGCATTGCACAACAAGAGAAACAACATTTCTTCTTTTCTTTACAAGAACAATCTCTCTTGCACTCATCAGGCTGAGGACCAGTGCATCTGCAGTGATCTCTTGGGCACACCCCCGGGTTCTGTTGAACTTTACCTTCTGGTGACAACAGAGGGGAAACAGGGGGGAAATGTTGTGGAATTACACACACACACACACACATCTCCTTTCTGATGTTGCTGTCACTTGGTCGTAGGAGCACCTGGGGCTGTGACTCCTAAGCTGAGAGAGAATCTCCAAAAGAGCTCAGGAACAATATCAAATCTCTCTGTCCAGAAGTGTGCAGTGCTAGGAACAGCTAAGATACTAGGCAGAACCTCAAACTCCCAGGCCTCTGGTAGAGGAACTAAGATTTGGAAGACACAACCACCCATAGAGGTGAAAAGTGATACATACATATATATAAGAGCCATGGTGGCGCAATGGTTAGAATAAAATATTTGAAACTAATTCTGCCAATTGCCAGCAGTTTGATCAAGGTTGACTCAGCTTTCCAGCCTTCTGAGGTCGATAAAATGAGGACCAATTTATTGGGGGCAATATTATAACACTGTGAACCGCTTAGAGAAGACTGTAAAGCACAGTGAAGTGGTATATAAGTCTAAGTGCTATTGCTATCTATCTATCTATCTATCTATCTATCTATCTATCTATCTATCTACCTACCTACCTATCTACCTACCTATCTACCTACCTATCGATATCTCAATATATCTATATCTCGATAGATATATATGTCTCTCTCTCTCTATGTTTTTATATGTATATAGCTGTACTTATTCTAAGTCTGACAGAAATCTTAAAATATAATGTAGAGGTAATTCTACTTTATCGACTGCCTTGTTTAGTGACTATGCACAGTTACTATCACAACAAAAAAGTAACTTTATGACCAATCTGGGCATTTACAACCTCAACAGATCTGCAAAGTAAAGAAAATCTGATGTAAGATCATAAGCATATTTCATTTAGTGCTTTCTTTGCTTATCAACTGAGCTGATGGGCCCAATAGTTGCTAAATAAGGGCTACCTATATTCAGTGCACTTGTAATTAGCAACCAAAAAAATCTCAAAGCTTTCAACAATTATTGCCAAAGTTTGTTGAAAAAAAGAGCTGAACTCATTTTCCAGGAGACTAATGAAGAAGTGACTTAATTAGTATCTGCGCCCCACATTTTCAGTTACCACAGAAAGGACTTCAATCCACTGCTAGACTTACACCTCTTAGAAGGGAAATTCTGAACAATTTCTCCTTCCTAACTGAAGCCAGAACAATTGGAAAAAAAGTCATGGAAGATTACTTCAATATATGATTACTATTGCAAACTTATATGCACAGAGAAAGATTCAGTTCTACCCTCTTTGGAGGAATAGTTGGTGAAGACAAGAAGCAACAGGAATTTTCCTCACAGATATTGTCCAATGTATTCCTAATTCTTCCTTTGTTTCAAAGGACAATTCAATCCACTGACTTTTTCAGGCTTCCAACTGCATATTTCACTAAAAGATTTATGGTTCAGCAGCTTCTATGAACAAAATCACTTAGTCTTCACCCTTCAGCAATATGGGCTTCATTCCCTCCTTACTTGCAACAACATTGTCTGATGCAACACCTACAAACCTTATCAAAATGAATTGTAATTTTCTCCAACTGCAAAGGCCTGCAGTGTGCTACTTATTGAGAGAGAATGCATATTATATTTGAAAAGGTTGCCATTTACAGCTAATATCTGTAGCATGGAGTACAGTAAATTTGAAATTTCTGATAGAATTGTGAATTGGCCTGATATGACTTAAAACAAATTCTACTGGGTATGTGGATATATGGAAAAACTCTCAAGATCCACAGATTGGTTGAATAATATCAACACTACAGTAAACTGTATTAAGAGCATCTCCAGCAAAATTTAAACATTTGCATATTATATTTCTGGAAACTGCATTATAGATTAAAATATGTTACCTTATTTTTCCTGATAACAATAATGGTAATAAAGATTATATAAATAACTATTCAATCAGCTACATCAAAGAGACAATTTAAAAGTAAAGACGAAGGCATAAAACTCAGTGAGGCTTCCGGCTCTTTCCTCCATCATCTCAGTTCACCAAACAACAACTTTTATGTCTCACCTGTTGGGATGTCACTCCCGGTTGTGGAGGGGAATCCCACCCAAAGAGCTAGAAGGGCCACAAGGAGAAAGGTGGTGAGCAGCTTCATGCTGTCCTCCAGATTCAGCAAATGACTTAGAATGATCAAAAACTACTGCTGGGCAAAGCAGTGTATGAACAGAAATATGGTTAGGGCTTCAGTTGCATAGAACTGCAATAATAGTTTTGCCAAACTGGTTTGTATGCTTCAATTTTGTCTCCTCCCCCCAAACATAAGCAATTCATCTCATTTTTGTTGAAACAGAAGCTAGGGTTAGAACAGATGACAACATTAGTGTAATATTATGGAATAGTGTAGCTCATGATCAAACTTTCATGTCTATAAACCTTAGTTTCTCTGACGTCCAACAAAAGAGATGTCCTTTTTTGGTCCTCATGTCCCCTGTCTGGCAAGCAGAGTCTTTTTTTTTTAATAATATTTGTTTATTAATTTTCTGTGTTTACAATTCATAAGTGCTTAGTAAACAATGTGTTGTCTGGGTCCAATTTGCTTAATAATACACATTAAGATCCTAGTCTCTACCCCGTTTTTCCATAATGGAAATATTCTGATTTTTTTTTTTAATTTTCAATGTCAGTCTGTCCATTTCTGCACATTCCAGTGTATTCTTGATTATCTCTTCTTCAGATGGTATTTCTTCATTTTTCCAGTGCTGAGCAAATACAATTCTTGCTGCTGTTAATACATGCAACATCAAATATATATTTTCTTTAGCATATTTTTCTGATATTATACCTAATAAAAATAATTCCAGTTTAAAATCTACATGTTTTCTTAACATCTTTTCTAGCCAAGTATGTATTTTTGTCCAAAATTTTTTTTGCTTTAGGGCACACCCACCAAATATGATAGTACATGCCTGGTTTTTGCTTACATTTCCAACAATTACTAGACATGTTTTTGAACATTTTTGCTAACTTCGCAGGTGTTAGATGCCATCTATAAAACATTTTATATACATTTTCTTTATAAGCAGTTGCCATTGTCAATTTATAGTTTCTTTCTCATAGATTTTGCCATTTTCTAATTCTATATTGTGCCCATGTTATCATTGTTCCTTTCACTTGTTCATCTTCCATTTTTAGATTTAATAGTTTCTTAATCAGTTTTTCATCTGATGTCAACAATATTCATATCTCAGATAGGAGAAAGCAGAGTCAAATATATTTCCTTAAATTTTGAACTTTTTTTGATAAAGGTAGTCATTCAAACTTTCACATATTGTAGTCTTGTAAAATGCCTGCTTCTTTTATTTCCTCATCTATCAATAGATTTATGTAATTTAGCTTATGTCCTGATTCCAGCAATTGGCTTTAATCTGGCCCCTTCAATTCTATGATCACTGTTTGTAGATTATATGTGATTGAAAAACACATCATAGTTGATTCTGTATGATTGCTAACAATTTTTATTCATTTTAATAATAGACAACAACTCCAGAGCACAGATTTTCCTACTCTTTGTTCTGTAGTTTGACTGGAAAGCAGGTATAATCCAGATTCTCAAACCAAACAATGTTCCAAATGAAAATGTCTGCTACTATGTCACAGAACGTGTGCTGGACCAGCCAGTTAGCTTAAGAACTGTATGTTAGAACGTTTAACATTTAAAGGGTTAAACGCTGTTTCCTTAAGAGATGGTTTATGGGTAATATAGTTTTAGCAATCCTATAGTTTATCTAGTCAGTGGGAGAAGTTAAAAGTTATTACAGGATATCCTGTTACATGCCTTTGTGCCTTTGTATCATCTTTCTGCATGGGTTCCAGCACATGGCTGGAAGCTCCGTGCCAAAGCATGTGATTTGCACACAGGATGGAGAAATCCATTAACCTTTTACCTATGAAATGGATCAGATTACCACTGCATTCCGGAGGAACCTCTGTTGTAACTGTGAGTTATTGATTGAGGATACCTGTGAAATAAAGTAATCTTTCTTGATCTGTTCATTGAGTAAATATTTGCTTGCTCCACATGGAAAGTCAACCATCCAATCTGTGTGGGCAGGACAGAATGTATGGAAAACTTATAAATTTTCGGTGGCCTAGAGTGAAGAAAAGGAGAACAATCAGCTGCCCTTTTACCTTGAAGTCCAGCTGTGCTGTTTAATGAGCTGCACAGGCTAGGGTTGGTGTGGGATATTTTTAGTCAGCAGTCCCACTGGTATAGCAAGGTATGTAGGTTATGGGACTTCAGCCCAGGTGGGGTGGTGATACCCATGTTCTCAGTTAATGTAAGACATGCTGTCGATTCAACAAATAATTGAAGGAAGAGAGAGAGGAGGAATGGAGAAGAGAGGAGAATGGAGTATCTGGAGAGAAAGTTTGAAGAGAAGTTGGAGAGAGATGTAAAGCATACAAAGCAGTAGTGGGTTCCTGTTTGGGAGAAGCAAAGAAGAGTCCATGGGAGCTTCCCTGGAAGAAGGGAATTGAAGACTCCCAGGGACCAGAGCTCCATGCAAGACCCAAGAATAGGGAAGGAGGGACCTGGCTGGCTGAAGGGGATGGCTTCATCCAAGATTTTGGAGGAGATGAAGGGAGTGCAGATGGAGAAATCCAGTTTTGATGTGAAAACTATGCATGAGGTTCTGAGAGAGAGTCAGCTTTGAAAGATGTTTTGAAAGATGAAAAAGAAAGTTTTTGGTTGAGCTGGAGAAGGTCATGTGATAGTACTCCCAGCTATTTTCTTTCTACTCTCACACATACTCTCTCTCTTGTCTAGCTCAGAAATTGGTGAGGGAGACATAGAGAAGGGGAAGGAAGCAGGAGAGAGAGTGGGGTAAAGTTGCTGGTAGGAAGAGCTGGGAGGAATCCTGACCCCAGCACCATTGTATAGCCCTGCTATACCTGCTGTAAATAAATATGTAGTATAGGGAAAAGCAGAAAAGCCTACGTTGTTATGCGTTTCTGTGTCTCCTTTGCAAAACAGTATACCTTCACTACAAAAAAGAACTTTGTCATACTGTTAAAAGTCAATGTTGAGGTAATTGTATTGAAGATTATATTGAAGATATTCAATTAGTTTACATTTCGGTGTGAGACTTTGAAAAAAGTTTGTGAATATATGGATATTAACAATCAGCAATTTTTGTATTACAGTAAAACAAGATGTCTTAGTATATTTGCTGTTACTGAGAGACTAGTGAAGTTATTTCCAGGACTAAAGGAATTTCCTTTCTGTAAATCAGCCACCATTTATGATCAAAAAAATTTTTGAGAATAATTTTGCAAAATTTGTATTTGTTTCTGAGCTCATTGATATCTGTCTTCCAGGATAAAATTGAGGTAGTTAAAAATGAGAAATTATTAGTAATAGAGGTGGGAAATCTCCTTCACTCAACAGTAGAACTTCTTAAAGGGAGATTGAGTGCCCCTGAAAGTTAGAGAATTGTGAACACACTGTATGAAAAAGAAAAGGGAAGAAAAATAATATCAGCATTTCATAGAAGAGATTATTTTATTTATTCATTATTTATTTAATTAATTTGCTTGCCGCCCATCTCACAACAAGGTGACTCTAGCTGGCTTACAACATTAAAACCATAACAACAACTTTGTTTCCCGAATAAAAGATTCTTTAAGGTAAACAATGCCTCAAAGTTCTTTTGAAGGGTTTCATCTGACGGAACCATGACACCACTTTCATCAACCGGGAAGCCTGTTAATGGATTACAAATTAGATGTTAAACTTAAACAACAATGCAGAAGTAGCTAAGCAAGCATCTATGTTTCTAATTACCAAACTAGTTCAAGGAAAAATATTTTGCTGGAGATAGAGTCAGGAAAGCAGCCTGGTTGGAGGAATCCTAGTTGTCAATGGATGGCTGAAGAATTTAAAATAAAAGTCAAGGCCCAGCTGCTATGGGAAGTTTAATGTACTCTAAAAATGACAGAAATTTGTCTGTGGTTGCTCAAAGTTTATGGCAGCTCATCCAAAGCAAAGGGAATCAAAACAGGTGAAGTGAAAGCAATATCTGTGTTCCCCAGAGAAGGAAAGGAGAGAATGTGGGGAAGATTAGGCTACAGGGCTAAAGTGAAGGGAGCATTGAGGATATTTCTTTTTTCACCCAGAACATGATAATATTGAACGCAGTGCATTCTTGAGATGAAAGTATATGTAAACTATTACCTGAATCCCAGAGCTTCTTATGCTGGATCTACACAGTTCATTGAACAACAGTAGTAACAACACTTCTTATTTTTTTCACATTCATGATCTCTACTGCACTTGTCAGATTCAGGTTGAACGCAGCTGCAATAATTGACTGGGCACACCCCCGGTTTCTGTTGAATTGGATGTTCTGGTAATGGCAGAAAACAGTACAGGGAAAAAAAAGTGAATCAATATGTATTTCTCTCTCTCATATATCTGTCTGTCTGTCTGTCTGTCTGTCTGTCTGTCTGTCTGTCTGTCACATTCTGCCCTTCAATTGATCACTTTGGCCTTTACTATTCACATCCTCTCCAGTAAATTGTATGAAGAGTATCTCCAACAAAATGTAAACATTTGCATATTTTATTCTGAAACTGCAATATTAACATATTTTCCCTGATAATAATGGTAGTAAAAGCTATATAGATTTATATTCAATCAGCTACATCAGTTTAAAAGTAAAGACGAAGGCATAAAGTGAGGTTTCCTTTTTTTCCCTTCATCATTTCCATTCACCAAACAGCTACTTTTATTCTCATCTGTTGGGAAATCACTTCCTGCTGTGGAGGGGTAGCCCATCCAAACATCTACCCTTCCATGTCTTTAAATGTTAGGTTCCCTGACATCTAGCAAAAGGAAATGTCCTCACTGTTAGGAAGTTTCTCCTTAATTCCAGGTTGTTTCTCTCTTTGGTTAGTTTCCAACCATTGTCTCTTGTCCTGCCCTCTGGTGCTTTGGAGAATAGTTTGATGCCCTTTTCTTTGTGGCAGCCCTCAAATGTTGGAATACTGCTATCATGTCACCCCTATTTCTTCTTTTCAGTTCACCAAACAGCTACTTTTATTCTCACCTGTTGGGAAATCACTTCCTGCTGTGGAGGGGTAGCCCATCCAGAGAGCTAGAAGGCCCATAAGGAGAAAGGTGGTGAGCAGCTTCATGCTGTCCTCCAGATTCAGCAAATGACTTAGAATGATCAAAAACTATTGCTGGGCAAAACAGTGTATGAACAGAAATGTGGTTAGGGCTACAGTTGCACAGAACTGCAATAATAGTCTTGCCAAACTGGTTTGTCTCCTCCCCCAAACATAAGCAATTCATCTCATTTTTGTTGAAACAGAAACTTTGGCTACAACAGGTGGGAATATTAGTAACCACAATATTATGGGATAGTCCAGATCATAATCACCCTTCCATGTCTGTAAACGTTAGGTTCTCTGACATCTAACAAAAGGAGATGTCCTCTCTTTTGCCCTAATGTCCTCTGCCCAAAAAGCAGAGTCTTAAAATCAAATAATATCTTTTTTTTAAAAAAAATGAATCTTTTTGATAAGAGTAGTAATTTAAACTTTCATATATTATGGCCTTGTAAAATGGCTGCATCGTTCATTTCCTCATTTGCCAACAGACTCAAGAGCCAAAATGTATGTAATTTATTTCCTGATTCCAGCAATTAACTTTAATCTCGCCCCTTCAATTCTATGATCACTGTAATCTGTAGATCACATCATATGTTCCTAGGGTGAAATTTGAAAAGCACATTACAGTTGATTCCATATGATCGCTAGCAATTTTTCTTTCTTTTAGTAATATTTTTGCAATGGTAATTGAAGACAGCAACCCCAAAGCACAGAGGATTTTCTACTAATTGTTCAGTACATTGATTGGAAAGCTGGTATAATCCTGATAAAGAATGGAAGGAGAAAGGAGGGGGGTAGAATTTACTATTTGTCCATCAATCATCTCCAACATAATAACATGATACTCTTCCATTGGGGCCCCAAGCCAACTGGCAAAGCCAATTCTTCTGACTTACAGAAGGTTAGGAGAGTGGAGGCAGATCTTACCCTGGGAGGCAAGATGACCCAAAGGGCTGGTGGCAGAGAAGAGTCTTCTCCTGGATCCCACCAGCTGGAATTCCTTGACAGACAGTTTCCACAGCATGCCTCCTCTGCTGGCATAAGTGAGGAAGGCCTGTCCCTTTGTTTGAGATGGTTCCTCAAGTAACCTGGACCCATGTTATTCAATGCTTTATAGTAATAACCAACACATTGAATTGCATTAGATTACTATATGAAGAGTGCATTAAGTATTTGGAAAAGGAGTTAAAAGCTTTTGTTGAATTTCACAGCTTTTAGTCCATGTGTTTGGACACAAGGGAAGACATTTTGTTACACATGCTGTTACTATGCCTTCTGTAACTGAAGGAAAAGGGTATTATTGTGGATGATGTATAGTTATTTGCCACTAGTGTAAAATTAAAATATTTCTAAAAGAACAGAATGTCCACATCTTTGAAGATTTCTTGCTTGTACAGTGTGTGGTAGTCTTACTTCAAAAGCTCAAACAATGCAAGTTGTTTCTCTGGGTTGCAAAAAAATCTTTGGATTCTTCTTCTGTATTCCTGGACACAATGCTAATTTGAAGGGCTATTGGCTTTAATCAGTGCTTAGTGGATAAAAGAAACTGGCTATCCCTTGAATCTGTCAAGGGAATAACCATGAGGAATGTCACCAAATGATGCCAACTGTACCTTCAGGAAGGAAGATGATGTTGCTGAACCAGATAACTAGGACAGCGGAATCCTGCATGTGCCAGATAATCCTTGAAATTTCAGCCAAATGTATATAGTCTCCAATGAGCTGGGATGACCCTCCCTATCTTTTAACAGTATTTATTACTGATTATTTTTGTTTTATTCTAATATGTACCAGTTTTAATGTAAGCTGACTGCAGTCATCCATGACAAGATGCACAGCACATAGAGTAAATTTAACAGATAGATAGATAGATAGATAGATAGATAGATAGATAGATAGATAGATAGATAGATATTGATTTGGCTTTGCGACATTGATACACCAAGTGGCTGTTTTTCTAATTATGTCTCTTGACAGTTTGTGGTTAACTGACACTTGAATGTGACATAACCTAACCACCTTATACTTTTAAGAAACTATAATGTGGTTAGGTTATTTCACATTCAAGTCATCAGCAATATCCTGTGACCTTTCACATTCAACAAGCAAAGCAGTTTTTGTCTCTTACATTCGGATGTGAGCTGCAGTTGGAAGAACCAACCAACACAGTAAGGATCTGCCCACACTCCTTGTGGTTAAATAGTTCCCCTATTTATACTGGTAATAATATTCAAACTTCCCTGAATGCAGTCCAGTTTTGATGTTAGCAAATCTTCCTGATCCTGAGGAGGCCAAAAAGAGGTGATATTCAGTTTAGAAAAGTTATATTAGAACAGAGTCAGGACCATCTAACTGGGGGGAAACTGACTGAATGGAGAGGTAAAATGGGTTGTGTAGATCCCTTTCAATCAGGACACAATCTGAAGCATGGGGTGGAGGCATATGTGATTGCTATTGTGGAGGACTTCAGTTATAATGTATGTGGTAGGAGTGCAGCTTCCTTGATGTATTAGATTTCTTAAAAACTTTTGATAATATCAGTTCAGGTATAGTTTGGGAATTCAGGGCACAGTTATTACAATTGTCTATTTATAATGTGATTCTTTTTCCTGCCTAAGCCTGAGCTTTTCCTTCTTTGAGGTACAGAAATGTGAGATTAACATCACAATTTAATAGAATCTATTCTGTCATGGTTGTATTGTTGTTGTTGTTGTTTTTAAAATGAATTAAATATGATCAAGATGGCATTTTGCAGGTAAATAAGGGAAGAATTGAAAAATGAAATTTGCAAAAGTAATTTTATTTATAATAGAGAAATAATCATTGCCACTATAATGAAAAACATATTGTTTTCTGCATTTTTCATTATCCATTGATTATCCATTGAAAATATGTATATCATTTCAAGCTGTAAGACAGAAAGTGAGACAGTCAGAGAAACAGACAGAAAGAAAAGTTCCCTGAAACAACAAGGAGTAAAGCAGTATGGCAGGTATCTTGCTGTTCTCATTTCTTGTTCAAGAGACATTTTTGAGGCTTAGGAAGGGATCAGAAAGATGCTGTAATATTGTTGAATGCATTGAACCATCAAACCACTTTCATTAACTGGGAAGCCTGTTATGGATTAGAAATGACATGTTAAAACCTAAATAAGCAACACACCAGAAGTCACTACATGAGAATCATATTTCTAACAACCAAACTATTTTCAAGGATATGGTACACATTTTGCTGGGGATAGAGTCTTGAAAGCAGCCAAATGATATAATTAAAAAAAAAAAATTCAAGTTGGATTGGAGGATTCTAATTGTAAAGGGCTTCCTGAAGAATTTAAACTAAGAGTCAAGGACCAGCTTGTAAAGGAATTTTAATGAAATATAACAATGCCAACAAATTAGGTTGTGCAGTTCCCACAGAGTTTATCCAAAGCAGGGGGAATCAGAGGCAGGTGAGGTGAAAGCAATATCTGTATTCCCCACAGAAAAAAAGAGGAAAGACTGTGGGGAAGATGAGGCTGGAAGAGTAAGGGAAAGAAGCATGGAGGATGAACCAAGTGTGTCCTTGAGAAAAGTGCATATAAAGTACTACCTGAGTCTCAGAACTTCTTATCTTGGAGATACACATCTCATTGCACAACAATAGTTACAACACTTCTCTTTTCCTTTGCAATCATTATCTCTCCGGCACTCATTATGCTGAGGATGAATGCAAAAGCAAGGATCGGTTGGGCACTCCCCTGGCTTCTGTGGACTTTGTTTTCCTGCAATAGCAGAGGATAGTACAGTAAAACAGTGGTAAACCTTAAAATATAATGTATAGGTAATACTCACTCATCAACTGCTTTGTTTAGTGACTATGCACAGTTACTACAGGGGTGTCAAAATTGCAATGTCATGTGATGTGTCGTGACGTATCATGACTTTGTTTCCATTGCTTGCAATGGAGTGGGCACAGTTTTGCTATGATGCATCTGGCCCGCGGGCCAGCAGTTTGACACCCCTGATTTATCATCTTTGTAATTTTGTAAAACAAAGGAAAGCTGAAGTGAGATCCTAAGGACAGTCACTGTTACATTTGGTAACTGCTTTGCTTATCAAGAGAGTTGCTAAAAGAGAATTACCTGCATTAGAAACACATGTAATTAGCAGCCAAAAACCATCATTATCAATGGCAAAATTACTAAAGTTTGTTAAAAAGATGAGCATGCTCATTTTCCTGGAGACTAACAAAGAGGAGATTAATTAGTTTCTGTGTTTGTTGCACATTTTCAGAGCTACCTCAAAAAGGATTTCTGAGAACGGAAGCTTTGAACAATGTCTCCTTCCTGAGTTCCTGTGGTACAACTACTATTTTTTTCATTGGATACCTTGTTTTTATTTAGAATATGATTTTTCTCTTTGATACTTAGAAAGCATTTCTGGCTCTCATAAGAGCCACAATCAGCATTGAACAGTAGGAAATTTTGTCACAGATATTGTTCAACACATTCTCTGTAGAATTCCTAACTCTATCTTCCTTTCAAAGGCAATTCAATCCACTGACTTTTTCAGCCTTCCAACTTAAATCTATGCTAACAAAATGCAGAGGGAGATGGCTGAATGACATGAACTGTTGCTATCCATGGGTAAATGTGGCTTGCTACTTTATGCTTCAGCAGCTTATATGAACACAGCCATTTTGTCTTTGTTCTTCAGCAATTTAGCCTGTTCTTCATTCTCTTCTTACCTGCATAGAATCTACCTCGTGCAATACCTACAAACTTTGACAAAGTGAACTGAATTGCAATTTTCTCCAAACTGAAAAGCCTGCAGTATGCTAGATGTAAAAACGGTGCTCACAACAACCAATGTGGAGTAGGTTAAGAAATCAGTCTCAACTTTAGAATTCTTTCATTCCTATTTAATTCCTTTCAAGTGTTGTAAAATTAATATATATTATTTTTACACTGGAAGTACATATCAACTTACTGAAAGAAAATGGAGACATCTGAAAATGTTGCCATCTGCAGGTGTAGCTAATATATATATAACATGGAGTACATTGAATTTGAAATCCCCATGAGTTGAACTGATGTGTCTTAAAGCAAATTCTATTGGATAAATAGAAAAATTCTGAAGGTCCAAAAGGTTGGTTGAATGCTATAAGGACCACAATACATTGTATGAAGAGCATCTCCAACAAAAAACAAACATTTCCATATATCATTATTTTAATCTGTAATGAAACATCATCATGGATTAAAATATGTTAACAGGTTTTCTATGATAACAATAATTGTAATAAATGCAGCAACATAGAAATCAATATTCAATTGTCCACAGAAAATAGATGACATTTAAGTAAAGATGTAGGCATTAAAACCAATAAGACTTCCTGCTCTTTCCTTTACCATGTCTTCTTATTGAACAGCTAGTTTTATGTCTTACCTGTTTGGAAGCCACTTCCAATTGCAGAGGGGAATCCCATCCAAATTGCTAGAAAGCCCACAAGGGGAAAGATAGTCAGCAGTTTCATGTTGTCCTCCAGATTCAGGAAAAATTAATAATCAAGAACTATAACTGAGCAAAGCCAATATATAAGCAGAAATGTTCTAAGGATTATAGTTACACCTAACTGCAATCAATAACATTGCAAAAGATTTTATATGCTTTCCTCCCTCCTCACCCCAAACTTAAGCAATTTCTTTTGTCTAATTGCCACAGTATGTATGCTGTGTTAAAAGATAGGCCAGGGAACTGGTGACTACATCCATAACTGCAATATTCTGGTGTGGTGTAGATTATAGTCACCCTTCTGTGTCCTAAAATCTAGGGTTCCCTGACCTGCAGGAAAAGCAGGTGTCCTCCTTTTTGTTCTCATGACCCCTGTCTATGTTTTCCAACATTTGGGTTTTTTATTTAATGGAGGGTTGTTGTTGTTGTTGTTACAAAAATAGTCATTCAAACTTTTGTGTATTGTGACCTTGTAAATTGTCTACTTCTTTCCCTCACAAAAGATTAGACAGCCCAAATATAACTTCTTCAATTTTATGATCACTGTAAAGCATATGAAATATTATACATTTTAGGGTGAAATTTAAAAATGAATAATGATCAATTCTATATTATCACAAGCAGTTTTTCTATCTCTGAACAATTATCACTTCCAGTACTTTGACTGGAAAGCTGATACAATCTAGATGAATTTATTACTGATAATTTTTGTTTTATTCTAATATGTACCAGTTTTAATGTAAGCTGACTGCAGTCATCTATGACAAGATGCACAGCACATAAAGTAAATTTAACAGATAGATAGATAGATAGATAGATAGATAGATAGATAGATAGATAGATAGATAGATAGATAGATAGATAGATAGATATTGATTTGGCTTTGTGACATTGATCACCAAGTGGCTGTTTTTCTAATTATGTCTCTTGACAGTTTGTAGTTAACTGACACTTGAATGTGAAATAACCTAACCAGATTATAGTTTTAAGAAACTATAATGTGGTTAGGTTATTTCACATTCAAGTCATCAGCAATATCCTGTGACCTTTCACATTCAACATCTCAAGCAAAGCAGTTTTTGTCTCTTACATTCGGATGTGAGCTCCAGTTGGAAGAACCAACCAACACAGTAAGGATCTGCCCACACTCCTTGTGGTTAAATAGTTCCCCTATTTATACTGGTAATAATATTCAAACTTCCCTGAATGCAGTCCAGTTTTGATGTTAGCAAATCTTCCTGATCCTGAGGAAACCAAAAAGAGGTGATATTCAGTTTAGAAAGGTTATATTAGAACAGAGTCAGGACCATCTAACTGGGGGGAAACTGACTGAATGGAGAGGTAAAATGGATGGTGTAGATCCCTTTCAGTCAGGACACAATCTGAAGCATGGGGTGGAGGCATATGTGATTGCTATGGTGGAGGACTTCAGTTATAATGTATGTGGTAGGAGTGCAGCTTCCTTGATGTATTAGATCTCTTAAAAACTTTTGATAATATCAGTTCAAGTATAGTTTGGGAATTCAGGGCACAGTTATTACAATTGTCTATTTATAATGTGATTCTTTTTCCTGCCTAAGCTTGAGCCTAAGATTAGACAGCCCAAATATAACTTCTTCAATTTTATGATCACTGTAAATCACATGAAATATTATACATTTTAGGGTGAAATTTAAAAATCAATAATGATCAATTCTACATTATCACAAGCAGTTTTTCTATCTCTGAACAATTATCGCTTCCAGTACTTTGACTGGAAAGCTGATACAATCTAGATGAATATATTCAAAGTAAAAAATGCTCACAAGGAAGCCTCTATTCCTATAACACAGAATGCATTGAAAACCCTATCAAAATATGATCTTTCTAGCATAAGGATTTAATGGCCTGGCCTGGCTGCCATCCTGCTTTGATCTGATGAAAAGGAGAAAAGGCAGCTCACAAGTGGTGTTGAAGGTCTGCTGTGCTTTCACATATGTGATGAACTGCCTTCCCTATTGCTGGGGATGCTATAGGGAGATTTTGAGTCAGCAATCCCACTGGTGCAGCATAATATGTAAGTGATGGGGATTAGGGCCTTGGGGGGACATCCATCTCCTCATTTACTACAGGTTTGCTGTTGGTCTAACCAAGAAAAAGAGAGAGAAGGAGTGGAGAGTTAGACTGAAATTGTGTAAACCCAGGAACTGGAAAGAAAAGCTGGAGTGAACAGTTATGGGTTCCTGTTTGGGAGAAAGGAAGAAAGGTATATGGGTGGTTCCCTGGAAGAAGGGAATACAAAACTCCTCGGAACCAGAGTTCCATGCAAGAAAGGGCAGGAGGGACCCAACTGATTGCCAGGGGCAGCTCAGCCAAGATCCTAGGGGGGATGTAAGCATTCCATTGCTGATGGAGAAGTCTGGTTTTGGGTGGACAACTATATGGGAATCCTTGAGAGAACTTCATCCCACAACAGAGAAAGTGGAAGTACTGAGCTGAGCTAGAGAAGGTGAAGCCATGCTGAACACAATATACTAATCCCAGATATTTTTTTTCCTTTGCACAAGAATTTTTGCCAAGAGAAAAGGTGAAGGAGCAGGAGAGAGGGGGGGGGGAAGAGAGACTAGGAGAAATCCCCACCCCAGCATTTTATTGTATAGTTGTGTTGAAAACTGCTGTAACAGTAGATAATACTATAAAAAGCATAAAAGACCCCACTGTTTTGTGTTTTTTTATCCATTGCCACCTTTGCAAAGCAATACACCTATCAAGCACCAGGGAACTAAAAAAATCCAGACAGTTCAATTGAATATAAAGATTTATTGCAAGCTTAAGCTCTCTTAACTAATGGTCAAAGCAAATTGGCGGTAGATAAGAGCGAAAGGAATTCAAGGTGGGCTGGACTTAGATTTTTTTGTGAGTGTGAAGGGACTCATGACTGATGACACATTTGACCCTGCCCTCAGGCTCAGTCTGGTCATCTACCATGGGCTCTTCTATGCTGCTTTTCCCTTTCTGCATTGTGTCTTCAAAGTCTGAAATTTTCATGGGAACTTGACAAGGACAGAAGAAAAGCAGTCTCAAAGGAATCTACCTCCCATTCCTCTGAAGTACTTGGTTCGAGGTTCCCTCTCCTTCCCAGGAACTGAAGGTCATATGTGGCAGGTTCATTGTAGGAGAGTATCCTGCCTTCCCCTGGAGGATGCAGAGGGGCTGGTTAACCTCTTCCTCAGTAGGTTTCTCTGGTGAAATGGGGCAGGGAGCTGGTAGGTTGGTCAACTTTGGCTTGTTAGGGAAGCACTGGTGAAAATGATGAACTAAATCAGGGCATGGACCATGCATTTTCCCAGGAGCTATCTGCAACTGAGTAGCCTTTCCAATGAATCAAGTACTGAATGCCTTTGCCTCTTTTCTAAAGACTAGGATTTCTTCCAACTTGTATTCTGGTTCTCCCTCTACTATGACCAGTAGTGGAGGGGTGCAGTGGGACTGTATTGTGCTTGGGGAAACATCTTTGGAGAGTAATGTTCAGTGAAATACTGGATGCACCTTCATTGAAGGGGGTAATGGGATGTGGAAGGCTACAGGGTTGATTTGTTGGAGAACTTTGAATGGTCCCACCAATTTATCATCTGGTTTCTTGGAAGATTTTGAAGTGGCTAAAAACTTGGTAGAAAGCCAAACTTTATCTCCTACTGCTATAGTGGGCCTTCTGCCAATGGGCATCTGCTGCCTTCTTGTAAGTCTGTTTCACTTGGTTGAGCTGCTGTTTCCAAAAGTCTTGGGCTGCAATTTGCTCCAATAAGATGTCTGCAGCTATCCTAGAGAAGAAGGAGTGTGGATACAGTGAAAGGGGAAATGGGCGAGCAACACCAAAAGTCATGTGTATGTATTTATTTACCAAAAGTCATGTGTATGTATTTATTTCATTTTATTAAAAGTATCTTATATATGAATGTAAAAAGAATGTATGTTAACATCTGATAAATATCATGGTATATGTATGGGGGAGAGTTTGGAAAAATAAAAAATTATTAAAAAAAAACAGATGTCTGCAGTTATCCTAGGCTACCAAAAGTCTCTTAAGGTTCTGTACAGAGTTTTGAACACATCCCCATCCCCTGCTGTTTGATTGTCATGGCAAAGCTGTAGTACCTCTTCCCTGCATGGAAGGGAAACTACTGTTCTGCCTCTGTGTTTCAGGGCACCTCCCTCCATTGCATTACCTGCTGGGGTTTCACTGAGGTCCTCTATTCTGGCTCATGAGAAGCGATCCAGTTGTTGCGGGGGCTTTATTCTGGTGGATTAAGTCCTGTGCAGTTGGCTGCTCCTAACCTCTCAGCAGTTGATGATGATTGGTGAAACTGGAAACTTAAAGATTGTAGGATTGTTGTTGGTCCTGAAGTCAATCGAACAAGGGAATATTCTGGTTTGTGAGAGAGGGCATCTGGCATTAAGTTCTTGGATCCTGGAATATATTTAATGTAAAAATAAAAGTGTCTGGGCAAAAGTGGCTTGGTTTGTTGCAGGGTGTGTAGATTCTTGTGGTCAGTGTTTACTTCCATAGAAAGTTGTTGGAATGCTGATTTAATGGCAAGGAATTTCATAATTGCATTCTGGGATCATCAGGACTCTGGAAAAGAAGGTGCATGGCATAAGGTTATTGTCTCCCCCTTTTTCTTGTAAAAGAAGAGCTCCAATGGCTACATCTGAAGCACCTACTTGGACAATAAATCTCTTTGATGTGTCCAGATGCTGAAGCAGGGGCCACCAAGCAAAAAGCTGCTTTAACTCTTTGAATACTGATTGGTGTATAGAAGTCCAAGCAATTTTAGCTCAGTTGGGTCAGTGATTTGGCTTCATGAGCAAAACCGGATATAAATTTCTTGTAGAAGTTAGCAAAACCTTTGGATGCCTTTGGCCTTGTTTAGGATAGTTTAGACCTTCTGCGGATCCATTTGGATGCCTTTGGGGAAAATATGGTAATTGAAAAAGTCTAGTTGTTGCAGGTCAAAGGCTCATTTTTCTGGCTTGGCAAAGAGGTGGTTATTTCTTAATCTATGGAGAATTGTGTGCATGTGATCTG